GCAGTGCCTCCACCCAACTGGGCCTTGTGTATAGCAAGTGAGACTCCTAGTTGAGAAAACCTTGTCCCTAGGCATGGTACTTACAGTAGTTGCATCTTTTGCAGGGATGACAGTCTAGTCCTTGGATATCTTTGGGCTTGTTCACACCAAGCTCATGCAGATCTGGTCTGCATTTGGTGTGAACAAGCCCTGGTTTTATTAAGAACAGCAGAACAGGGGAAGGGAGGGCTGGAATACCCAACAGCAGCACATCTTCTCTTAAGTTAGCAGTCCCGGCCTGGAAACGGACTTCAGCCATAACCCAGCAGGCAGAAGTAGCTCCATTACAACAAAGGTTCCAGTGTTTTCTCGGTACCAGGTATGACTGCTGCTCAGACCAGTGGAGGCTCAGGTGTCACTCCATTGTCCCCAACGACTTTCTCCCCAAACTACTGGATCATCTTGGGTTGGGTAGCTAGACCAGTGAAGGTTCATGTGGTGTTCCAGAGTCTCTGGGGACTCTATGATATTAGTCGTAACAGCATGGGTGAGGTGGGTAAGCCCTCAGGCCTGGGCAGAAGCCCAGCACCTAGTAATAGGACCATAGACTAACAAACAAAATGGCCCAGCAGCAAGTATGCTCTGGAGTTTTGTTACTGCCAAACTAGCATACCTTTGCCAAAAAAAGGAAAGGAGTAACACCGTGTTTATTGCTTTACGTGTCCCCGTTAGGGAGAGTCACCCTCTATATTGGTCATGCTGACTTAGAGTAGAAATCTTCCAATGGGGGGCATTTTAACAGAATGTAGGAAAAAAATGTTACTTAGTTGCTGAGTACCTCATTCTAAGGACCTGTGTCTACAGGGCTGATGACATCAGTTTAGGATGCTTCTGAGATCATTCAGAATTATTGTCCGGTGTCTTAGACCTGCAGTTGACCTCCTTCTGACCTGAATTTGACCTGCTTCAACCGGGTTTTGCATTTCTGTACACTTGTAGATTTGTAACCAATAAAATCAACTATTGTGTTACCAAGAACAGCCTAGTGGATATTTGCACCCATTTCATAGCTAGGGGTACAGCATTTTTTCCACTTAAAGTGACATTAAAGTCAAAAAATGTTTCTCTCCCCCCAATGTAAATGTCAGCACTTACCATAAATGATGTTTCTTAATCCGATCTTCTTTCCTATCCTTTTAATCTGTCCCTCCAGCACTGTGGCGGGTCTCCGATCCAGCACTGACTCCTCTGTCCTTGCTGGCACTTCCTGTCCCACGGTGTCTGCATGCGGGTGCACGCGCCCATAGACTTTCCATGTGTCTCTCCTCGCGATCTTGCCGAAAATGTTACTGCGCATGCGCCCGCCACAAGATGCTTTGCGGCCGCCCGAGAATCTTCACATTTTCGGATGGGAGCGCGTGGGGATGACAAGGGTAAGTTTAAACCACTTTTAAAGCTTTTTTTTTGTTGTTTTTTTTAAAACTTTTTGCATATATCTACTGCTTGCTAGCCATACATATATGCAAAAACACTGGCGGGTGTAATTATACTTTAAAGTCTATAATACTGTAGTTCTTAAAGTCAAGATCTGGTGAAGGGTGAATTTTATATTGGTGCAGTTTTACTTCTCACCAGTAGAGGGGCAAAGTTCAAGAATCACATTCTCACCTTTATAGAACATCTGTTCCAAATATTATAACACAATCCTTTTATCGGCACTTAAAAGTGAATGCTGGATTTGGTCACATGACCTGCATGGGACAAGGGAAGAATTCTAACTAGCATTAGCCAAAGTCTATGTTACTTCCAAGTTATACATGTGGCTAAAGTCTATTGTTTTATTGTGTACAATCTGTATTTAATCTCCGTTTAGGTCTACCATAACTATATAGAGGAGAGAAGCCGCCCCCAGGAGGAGCTGTGTCGGCCGCACGGCACCCTTGTTGCCATGGCGCCCTGTGCGGCCGCACAGCTTGCACACCCCTAAGGCCGGCCCTGAGTAGAAGCCCTACTAAACAATCCACTCACTTTGTATCTAATCAGGTAAGCTCTCCTGTTAACATCTCTAAATTATTTTTTTCAATCAGATTGGAAAGTGTATGACCAGCATCAGGCTATGACTACAATGATGAATAGATGTCTTTGCTACTTAGAGATTTGACTTATTGTTGGCAGTCAACTCATTAGTAGCGCATTGATTTTAGTGTATTGCAAATGAGGTGACTGCCAACAGAAAGGTAAATCTCTCAGTAGCAGACATTTAATTGGCAGTGCAGCCTAAATCAGAAAAGTGGCCTGAGACAGTTTTGTGCGTTTATAATCCAAGACTAAGGCTAAGATCTAAGACTCTGGTGCTGGAGTCGGGATACCCTTTACCTCTGTACCCCCTAATCATTAACAAAATCAAAAATAAATAATAACGAATAATAATAATATTCTCAATAATAATAATAAGGCAAAAACTACTCTGCAGTACAAGCCTGCCCTCTAGTGGCTAATTTCAGAAGAGCAGATATTCCAAGAGAAAAAAAAGAAATGCTGATAAAAGTAATCTATTATTTAACCTCTTCGCTCCTCAGGTTTAAAAAACAAAACAAACAAAAAAAGGTTTCATAACTGTGTCAGAATTAATCATTATCCGTTTGTGTGATTGTAGCATGATGACCACCAATCGTATTAGTGTTACTGTTGCAGAGAAGATTCCATTTAGCTTCTACTAGAGGCGTATCTCCTTTAAAATACCATATAAAACGGAATGTTCACTGTCTTCTCCTTCTTGGTGCAAGCTTAAATGTATTTTGGCAAATGTGATGGTTCCCCCATAGCACAGAGTATTTCAGGAGAAGGAGCGTTAGATAGGGAATAGAGCAGAGTCCACCTGAGCAGCACAGGGTATTTTAGAAGAGGAGTATCAGATAGCTGTAACAGCCGCCACCAACACACAGCATTTCAGGATAGGAGAGTCAGACAGCAGAAGGAAGATGGAAGAAGCAGCAGAATTCTCAAGGAACTCAGATTTTTCAGGAGAGGAGAGATGAAAGAAGTAGCAGAGTTCTACAGAAGTACATAGGGGGAATTGATCAAAACAGGAGCAGACAAAATCTGGAGCAGATTTGCACTGCAGCCAATCAGCTTCTCTGTCTCATTTTTAAATCTTACCTGAGCAAACTGAAGAGAGCTGCTGATTGGTTGCCATGGGCCATTGCTTCAGATTCTGTCTTCTCCAGTTTTGATAAATTCCTCCCATAATATTGCAGGAGAGGAGAGTCAGCTAGCAGAAGAAGACAAGTCTTCTGCCAGAGCAGTGTCCTCCAGCAGCACAGAGTATATCAGGATAGTAGAGTCAGATAACAGAAGGGGAAGAGTCCTCCAGCAGCGCAGAGTATTTCAGGATCGTAGAGTCAGATAACAGAAAGAGCAGAGTCCTCCAGCAGTGCAGAGTATTTCAGGATAGTAGAGTCAGCTAACAGAAGGGGAAGAGTCCTCCAGCAGCACAAAGTATATCAGGATAGTAGAGTCAGATAACAGAAGTAGCAGAGTCCTCCAGCAGCACAGAGTATTTCAGCATAGTAGAGTCAGATAACAGAAGGAGCAGAGTTCTGCAGCAGCACAAAGTATTTCAGCATAGTAGAGTCAGATAACAGAAGGAGCAGAGTCCTCCATCAGTGCAGAGTATTTCAGGAGAGTAGAGTCAGATAACAGAAGGAGCAGAGTCCTCCATCAGTGCAGAGTATTTCAGGAGAGTAGAGTCAGATAACAGAAGGAGCAGAGTCCTCCATCAGTGCAGAGTATTTCAGGAGAGTAGAGTCAGATAACAGAAGGAGCAGAGTCCTCCATCAGTGCAGAGTATTTCAGGAGAGTAGAGTCAGATAACAGAAGGAGCAGAGTCCTCCATCAGTGCAGAGTATATCAGGATAGTAGAGTCAGATAACAGAAGGAGCAGAGTTCTGCAGCAGCACAAAGTATTTCAGCATAGTAGAGTCAGATAACAGAAGGAGCAGAGTCCTCCATCAGTGCAGAGTATTTCAGGAGAGTAGAGTCAGATAACAGAAGGAGCAGAGTCCTCCATCAGTGCAGAGTATATCAGGATAGTAGAGTCAGATAACAGAAGGAGCAGAGTCCTCCATCAGTGCAGAGTATTTCAGGATAGTAGAGTCAGATAACAGAAGGAGCAGAGTCCTCCATCAGTGCAGAGTATTTCAGGATAGTAGAGTCAGATAACAGAAGGAGCAGAGTCCTCTAGCAGCACCCAGTATTTCAGGATAATAGATTTAGATAACAGAAGGAGCAGAGTCCTCAAGCAGCGCAGATAATTTTGGGAAAGGAAAGATTGAAGAGGTAGCAAAGTCCTGTAGCAGCACAAAGTATTTCAGGAGAGGAGAGTCAGCTAACAGAAGGAGCAGAGTACTCCAGCAGCACAGAGTCCCAGCCGCTGAATAAGAAACTTTACGCCGGCTTTATAACACTGGCAGAAGAGGGGGCACGGGGGCAGCAGAGGAGGGTCGTGGGCACGGGGGCAGCAGAGGAGGGTCGTGGGCACGGGGGCAGCAGAGCAGGATCATGGGCATGGCAGCAGAGGAGGATCGCGGGCACGGCAGCAGAGGAGGATCGCGAGCACACCAGCAGAGGAGGATCACGCGTACGGCAGAAGAGGAGGATGGCGGGCACAGCAGCAGAGGAGATTCACGGGCACGGCAGTAGAGGAGGATTGCGGGCACGACAGTAGAGGATGATTGCGGGCACGGCAGTAGAGGAGGATTGCGGGCACGGCAGCAGACGAGGATCGCAGGCACGGCAGCAGACAAGGAATGGGGCGCTGCAGCAGAAGAGGATCGGGACACAGCAGCGAGGGGAATGCAAAGACACAGCGGTCTCTACTCCCCGCTGGGAGCCGGCTGCAGCGCTCTGTGTCCCCTCTGATTAAAGGGGACACAGACCGTAGCATGCAGCGACTCACAGAGAGGAGGAAAGAACGGTGGAGCAGAGCGACGGTGGCGGCAGCAACTAATCGAAAATTAACTAATCAATAATGAGATTCGTTAACAACGATTCTCATTATGGATTATAATCGATTTTATCGATTCGTTGTTTCAGCCCTAGTCCTCCAACCGCACAGAGTAATTCAGGATAGTAGAATCAGATAACAGAAGGATCAGAGTCCTCCAGCAGCACATAGTATTTCAGGAGTGGAGACCTGAATAGTGGAAGGACCAGAGCCCTCCAGTAGCTCAGAGTTTTTCAGGAGAGGAGAGACAGAAGAAGGATCAGAGCCCTCCAGCACGAGAGAGCAGCAAGTCATGAGGATGACTGTAGTGTCAAAGGGTGATATTAAACAACATGGAATTATCCATATTGTTTCATAAGCTTCTATTTATTTTTGAGGACTTGATTGGAAATGCAGATTCTCTGTGGCATCTGACAGGTTAACTTTTTTTCCCACGGTATCGCTCTGCTGTTACATGTAGCAGGTTGTTGTGAGGGCCGTCCCATGTCACCTGCGATGGGGAGTCCATTCTGTCAGCCTGTCTGACTTTTCTGCCAATGTCAACTCCAGTCTGTGAGGGAATGTAAGGAAGAATCCCGACACCATAACCAAATTCCACTGTGACATCTCAGGACAGACCTTTGCAGGGCTTGGGTCTTGGAATGAGGAACAGTTCCCGGAGATGACAGGCAGCATAACTCTACAGCTTTAACCGGAACTGAGCAGGACTTTATATCACAGTGATCAGCAACCAGTGGCACGGGCTACACATGTTGCTCTCGGCTGCCTTTAATTTGGCTTCCAGCAGCTTTCTCATACCAGTCTATATCAATACCTATGCATAAAAGTATATCCAAAGCTAAAACCTTTTTTTTATAAGTTTTGGATAGAATAGGGAATGGTTAGAACCTGAGCTTGTGTGTCTTATTTACGATATTTTCTTTTACTTCCAACCTTGGAGACTTTACAGGAAGTGAAGGGAAATCTCTCTAATGTCCCTATTAGAAGATTTCTCCTCTATTCCTGTTTAGGTGACAACACTTATATTTGGATTTCCCATTGCTTTCTGTCTCAATGACAATGGTCACCAGGACAATTAGAGAAGATGAACATTCCTAGTGGTAACACAGACAACTTCTAAAGTCTATTCAAAACTAAAAATATAAGGTTGGCCTCAGATAAACTGAAATATTACAATCTGATTGCACCTTCATCTCCTTTAGTGGTAGTCACTCCTTACTCCTCTGTATCATTTAGTTTGAGATTATCTGTGTGTACAGGTTTTATCAGGAGGCAGCTAAGTCTGATGGAGGCACAGTGAGAAGTGTCATTGAGGCTGGAGTGTCCATATCAGATACTCTGACTTCAGCGGAATCACTGAGCAAGGTGTTGTGGGCCAATGGGCCTGCTTCTGAGACATTTACTCAGTTTTCACTTTCTGTGCCAGGGGAGGGGGTCAGGGTAGGCGTAAAAATGGCCGCCTTGGGCAGCAAATGCCCCTGGCACGGCCCTGGGTGAAGATTTGTCCTCACCTCCTGTTCCAGTGACCACTGTAAAATTTTGCATTTCTCTTTACATTCTCTCTTGTTGAAAATGGTCACCAGGACAAGAAGAGAAGTTGAATCTCACACAGGCAATAATAATAAAAAACCCTAAAGACTTTGATGCACTAAGCACCAACAAAGGAAGATAAAGATTGTAAGAGGAAAGAAGGAAAGGAAAAAGGAAGGGGAAGGGAAGGACATTTTGACACACTAAGCAGCAAGAAAGAAAGATAGAGATTGTAAGAGGAAAGAAGGAAAGGAAAAATGGAAGGGAAGGAAATGTTGACACACTAAGCACCAACAAAGGAAGATAAAGATTGTAAGAGGAAAGAAGGAAAGGAAAAAGGGAAGGGAAGAGAAGGACATTTTGACACACTAAGCATCAACAAAGAAAGATAAAGACTGTAAGAGAAAAGAAGGAAAGGAAAAAGGAAAGGGAAGGGAAGAAAATTTTGACACACTAAGTACCAAGAAAGATAGAGACTGTAAGAGGAGAGAAGGAAATGAAAAAGGGAAGGGAAGGACATTTTGACACACTAAGCATCAACAAAGGAAGATAAAGATTGTAAGAGGAAAGAAGGAAAGGGAAGGACATTTTTACACACTAAGCAGCAAGAAAGAAAGATAGAGACTGTAAGAAGAAAGAAGGAAAGGAAAAAGGGAAGGGAAGGAAATTTTGACCCAATAAGCACCAACAAAGTAAGATAAAGAATGTAAGAGGATAGAAGGAAAGGAAAGGGAAAGAAAGGAAATGTTTACACTACAAGCACCAACAAGGGAAGATAGGAATTGTAAGAGGAAAGAAGGAAAGGAAAAAAGGGAAGGGAATTAAATTTTGACACACTAAGCACTAACAAAGAAAGATAAAGATTGTTGGGGAAAAATAAAGCAAAATAATAAAATAAAACAGTGTTCAGATCATTGTAGGACATGTTGATAAATAAATGCCTAAAATCTTGCCGCCACGAACCTAACAAAATCTCAGAGAAGTGTAAATATTGTTCTTTAGATAGCAGACCTTAGCAAAGGACCTGCCAGGAGACCTAACCCTCCCCTCTGTTATCCAAAACTAAAAAAAGATGTTTTGGGTTTTGACACACTAAGCATCAACAAAGTAAGAAAGAAGGATAAAGATTTTGTCACAGTAAGCATCATCAAAGTAAAAAAGAAAGATTAAAAAAAACCTCCAAAAAATAAAAGTGTTAAAATAACCGTAGGACATGTTGATAAACACGTGCCTAAAACCTTGCCGCCAAGAACCTGAAATATCTCAGGGAAGTGTAAATATTGTTCTTTAGATTGCAGACCTTAATACAGGACCTGGCTAACAGGGAAGGTTTTGTTATTGTGAGTAGTCCACCTTTCCACATCTAATGCCAATTAAAAAAAAAAGATGATGGACTATTCAGCCAGCGTTGGTGTGCTAGCAAAGATCCTCCGACATTGAAGTAAACCCTTGAGATAAATCACTGACTAATCGTTCTTTTGTTCAGCTTTTTTGGAACTCAGTTGAGCAGTTCTGTTACACCGGTGTATACATGTGAAGGTCATCCCGCGACAAAACAAAGCTGATCGCATACAAGCACAAAAAAAAAAGTTCCGTCAACACAAGTCCTTAAACACGGGCTGTTTGTGCAAGCCTTGTGATCTTTCCATGCTAATTAACTATCCCTGTCTTAATGCGTTCCCTCTAACGAAGCGGAGATTTTTTGCTGCTGGCCTGGCAACTCCGAGGCTCGGTCCTTTAAACGTGTTCCAGCAGCTATTTTCCGAATGCCATAACTTTGCCGTCACAATGGTCGGAATGCGTAGGCCAGGCATTGCAGGACAGAGGAGAATTATTGGTCTTGTAGCTGTTGGCTACAGCGGCTGGTGTTAAGTACCGTCTAATTGTTCCCATTCAATATCGAATAAACATTGACTGCCCTGTCTTGTGTTTGCTCAGAGAATTCAATGCCGTTGTCGGCAAGTGGGCAAAGGTTATGGAGCTTGTCTCCCAAGACTGGCTATTGCCCTGGATGGTGATATATGACCAGGTGACACAAAGAAGTCTCCAACTTCTGGACAGGGGATGGCGTTTTGAAGAAATGTGCGATTTTGAGTTGAGCATCCATATGGGCGACAGAGAGCTAGAATTTTTGTATTTGTTTTTTGATGGACAATCATTGTGCCCATCTGCTTATCTATCATAAAGTGTTTGTACACCCAGAATCAAAATTTCAGCATGTTTGGCATCACTGTATACCATTTTCTTAGGCAAATTTTTGTTTGTGAATCTTTTGTAAAGTTTTTGTTTCTTGGAGATTCTGCCAGTGACAGCACTTCCTGTTGCAGGATGACAACGCTAAGCCATTGTCTCACAATTAGAAGCAGTGTTGTCAGCCTGTCATGCGCACTCCTTTAGTTGGCCTTTGAGCTACCTGTCTGATCTACAGTACCTGTCTGAGCTGACCTGATGGGCAGCCCAGCGGACAACTGAAGGAGCTGGCATGGCAGGCCAACGGCACTGTTGCTAATTGTGAGACAAAGGCTTAGCGTGGTCATCCTGCAACAGGAAGTGCCAGGGAAGAAATATTGAAACAGATTCAACCTAAAATGTTTTTGCTTAAAGGAGAACTATGTGGTGAGTGAATTACACTCATCCTCATAGTTACAGCCGACGTGTGACATTGAAACTGTCACAGGTTCGCTCTATTGATCGGGAAGTGAGCAAAAACATACCGTCGATTGCTCACTTCCTGATCATCTTCCTGCAGTAAGTATAGCCCGCTATATACTGAGTTTTGGGTCACGGGAGGAGAATAGTATATGTCCTCCCGTGACCCTAAAGAGAACTATGAGAAAAAAAGGTTACCCCATAGTTCTCCTTTAAGAAAACTACTGGGAAACATGATGCCAAACATATTACATACACTTTAATGATTGATACTTACCTCCCCTTCTAAAAATTCTAGTTGCCTAGGTGTCATGCTAATCCAGTGGCTTTGATACTTTCTGAGGCACTGACCTGATACCAATGAGAGATTATGGGGGTGATTTACTAACCTAAACACACGCACCCACCAGGTGCGTGTGATTTTTACACAGCAAAGCGTATTTATCAACCAAAAAGTCTCTAAAAGCATATTTCCACTAATGCCATATATGGAAAAATCATGCACATGATGCATATATAATGCTGCTTCACAGTTTAGACAAAAATGGTTAGCTCATGCATTTACATTCCTGCATTCATCAACGCAAGCAACACAATGTAGAGCTAATTTACACAACATCACCTTGCAATTCAGGGCAGGGCTTTGCACAACACACCTGCTGGGTGTATACACACTACAAAGGTGTTTAGATTCCACCCATAGATCATGCTGGGAGGGAACACACTACAGAGGTGTATACATGTTCGTGGTGTGTTTATAAGGTTAGTAAATCAACCCCTATGAGTTCTGACTTCTCACTACTTTCATTTCTCCTTCTTTCGCTGTCCTTTCTATACCCTGCCCTTCCCCCTCCTTTCCTGTGACCCTAGGTTTTCTGTCCCTAATATCCCCACTTCCCTAGAACCTGTTTTTACACAGGCCTCACCGGGGGCCTGAATTTTAAGCTCACACCATCCTTCGGTAGACTTTAAAGCTGACTTTGTTACTATTCAGCTGCAAGTCTATTCCTTTTGTTGCACACCCACATGGACCTTTATACGATCTTATTGGTTGTATGTTTATCTTCTGTTTGTAAAAGAAAATCAGAGACAACGATAACTCCAACTTTCCCTTTAGTGTGCATTGTTATACATTGCAAAAAAATGCAGCAGGACAGAAGTTTTTGGGAGTTGAGGTATGTTACAGCCCCTTCATTTTGTACTCCAGACAATGAACCTGAACGAATGAAAACACGCTGCAATTGTGCGGCGCTCTGGAGGTGCTTGTCGCGCGATTTGCATTTTGCGCGATATCGCGCAAATGGTTGCATTGAATTGCAGTAGAATCGCGCCGAAATCCGCTCCAAAAAGGATCCTGTTGTAGCGACGCACGACCCGCGACAGCGACGAACAGAGCCCCATTGCCATGCATTGAAGAGCGATATCGCGCGGTAAATACCGGCGATATCGCGCGGATTACCACGCGATAAATCGCGCAGTCTGAACGGGGCCTAAGGGTAATGGGAGGACCCAAACTATCGTCCTCCCGTCACCCAAAGCTCAGTATACCGCGAGCTACAGCTCGCGGTATACTGAGACGCCGCAGCCGGAACAGATCCGGACAATTATGTCTGGATCTGCTCAGCTGCGTGAGTGACAGCTAGCTCTGCCTATCTAGAGGCAGAGCCAGCTGTCCCCGCCCCCTCCCCGTCTGTTCCGCCAGTCAGCGCTGGAGGATCGGACAGGGGAGGGGGGAATCCAGTCCCTCCCCTGTCACGGATCTCTGCCGACACAGGATCGCGAAGTGAGCGAACGCCGGTATGTGTTCGCTCACTTCCCGATCTACTGAGCCGACCTGTGACAGTCTCATTGTCACAGGTCGGCTCAGATTATGAGGCTGAGTGAAAAGCACTCACCTCATAGTTCTCCTTTTATTTTCGAGGTGACCACCAATGATCTAGACCAGGGCTAGCTAAACTTCAGCCCTCATGCTGTTGTGAAACTACAAGTTCCATGAGTCATTGCAAGACTGACAGCCACAGGCATGACTCCGAGAGGGATTTGAAGTTTCGCCACAGCTGGAGGGCCGAAGCTTGCCTAACCCTGATCTAGACGGTCATTTCTCGTACAGGACAAATACACTCCAATGGATATCTGCTGCTAACCAAATCATCACGGATCGAAAAATTAGTCCACAGATCTTAAAGTGATACTCCAATGAAAACATTTATACTAGTTTTGTATAGAGCGGGGGTGGGGTTATAATTGCAGTGTTTGTGTCCATTGAGACATAACCTTTTGTGCCTCTGGGAAAGAAAGTTTGGCAAATCTCCCCAATAAAGACTCACATAATAAATAACAGAAGTTATCTCTAAAAAGCAGGACTCCAGCCAATGATAAGATAGAAATGAAAAGCCCATTAAAAGATAAAATAGCAAAAACAGTATTTGCTGCAAGATTCAGCTTCTGTTCAGAAATTTCCTCTGCAGTACTTATTTCTGCCACTGGATGTCCTCAGTCCGACAGCCTGTATCATTCAACCCACTTTCCCTAAGCCCAGGTCAAGGGTCCACCCCAGACTGTGACTGGATGCTGAAAGGAGAGCTAATCTCACTGTCACTCTGCTCTCTCCTCCTATCAGCATGCTCTTTGTCTGCACATGAACTGATTGGCTCCTTGGCCTGCTTCCTCTTCTCACACTGCAGCTGTACAGGGACTGCAAGGGGCTGCCAGATCAGATTCAGGTACCGACACTGCTTGTATTTAAACCTTTAAATTTGATAATGTAACGCATGTATGATTAAAGAGCTGCATTCGTTAATGTTTTTTATATCTATTGAAGAATAATCTTTTATCATGTGTGGCTGACCTAAGGAAAGACAGAGAGAAAAGCTTACTTGTCACAATTGCAGCACCTAGTCCTGTTTTGCCTTTAAGTGTGAGGGTAACAATACGTGTGCTGATATCCCCAATGTTGCTTGTGATATTCAGTAAGAGAAACAATTAGGGATGCACTGAAATTTCGGCTGCCGAAAATTAAATTTTTTGGGCAAAATAGCGATAGTAATGAAAAACCGGCCAAAGAGGCGGTACATCCCCAGCTTCTCTCCTCCCCACTGTGCATCAGCTGCAAGCTTCAGTCTGTGTGCCCTACAATCTCCGCTACTCTCCTCTGCCTGTGTCAGCAGAGGCAGCGGGGATCGGAGGGGACACGGAACCGATCCATCTACCGGCACCCAGCGGGGAGGAGAGAAGCTGTCAGGAGGCTGAACAGGGCAGTGCGAGTGGAGGACACGATGTGAGTGGAGGTCACGATGCCGAGCGGGGCAGTCCCGGGGAGGAGAGCTTGGCTCCAGCAGTAAGTATGAGCAGAACAGTAAGGATGCAGAGCAAAGCACAACCACTGAGCGATCAATACTGATCACATAGAAGGGAATTTATCAAAACTGGAGCAGACAAAACCTGGAGCAGTTGCCCATAACAACAAATCAGCTTCTCTCTTTCAGTTTTTAAATCCCTCACTGAACAAACTGAAGAGAGAAGCTGATTGGTTGCCATGCGTAGCTGCTCCAGTTTTGATGAATTTCCCCCTCTGTGTTTGTAAATAACATTGAGTGATTACTATGTCCCCAGTTATGAATGAACAGGAAGTGCTATACATCACTTCCTGTTCATTTATCAATAGGAACTTAGTAAATATTTACTGTCTGCTCACTTTATGAATGAAAAGGAAGCAGCCCAGTATAGAGGCTGGGTTGATAGTAAATATTTACTATCTCCAGATTGTGAATAACCAGGAAGCCTCTGTACTGAGAGCTTCCTGTTCATTGAGTGCTGGGGCTGTAGAAAAAGAGGTTGAGGGAGAGATTGTGTCCTCAATTTCTGTTTTAAAAGGGAAATATCAGAGGTCTATTTAGATCCCTGATATTTCTCCAAAGCCCTGACAGTAAAGTAAAAAAAACAAAACAAAAACATAATATAAATACGGTCATTTTAAACATTTTAAAAAAGGTTGGAAGACAAGTAATTTTCGGTTTCAGTTTTCGTTGTGAAGCTTTTCCTCTTTGCAGGAACTTCCTGTAATGAGGACCGGTCACTGCTGCTCTCTCTCCTTGTGCAGGGTGACTGGTCTTGTCTCCGCCCCCACCTGTAGTTTTCTGCAGGCAGCCTGTAGTGGGTGTGGTCTGCTGAGCCCCTCCCACAGCTCCACTCTCTGCACAGTATATAATCAACACAGTGACTATGTGACTTCTAATATATATGGTAATATCTGGGTTTAAAAAGACATTTGGCGCACACAAAATGGATTCATATCCTTTATGACTATTGAAAGTTTTTGTGCCCAGAGATCAGCTTTAATATAAATTTGAATCGAAAATGGGGCTCCATTTGATTTGCATTTTTTGTTACATTCTTTGTAGTTAAGGAACGCCAATGCCGTCCCTTCCATCTTATATTTTATAAATGCCATTAAATGCCATTAACATGTAGTTTTACAGTTTTATTTAGCCATATCGGTTCAGTCTTTGATCTTTTGTTTTTGTTACCCAATGGTATTTTCATTCACTTGTGTAATTGTGTCAACAGCATCACTAAACAGGAGCTGAGGGAATTTCTGCAACAGGGACACAGACACAAATAGAAAGTTCTAGCCTTAGCCTACTCTACTAAACCAAAAGCATTTTTTTTCACTATATTACTTTTGCAGAATTGTCCCTACTTCCTGTCTTAGTGACAACCGCTCCTCACTCAAGCCTAAAAAAGTGGCTGGAGTCAGGGTTAAAGTAAAACTCCAGCTAGTTATTATGTTCTATTGACAAAACCTAATAAATTCATTGTTAAAAAAAAAAACTCCAGCTAAGCTTTTTTCTTTCTTTGGTTAAAAACTCGCCAACCAGCTAACACATACATGTGGCGGTGTAGCAGATTGTCTTGTAGAGAGCCAGGAGAGGTCCTGTCCGGGGTTTATGTGTCACCCAGATTCATCTCATACACCTTCCGGGACCTGTAGTCAGCCCCAGGTTTTAAGCCTTGTCTCAATGGCAATTTAGTGCAGGTGAGGCAAACAGACAGTGCTCTGGGGCCTGGGGAGCAGACAGTCTGAATCTGTTAAGGTGCCCATACACCTGCCGATTATCGTATAATAATCGTGGGAAATCCCGCAATCGCACGATAAGTGGCAGGTGTATGGAAGGCGTGCGACCGTTTCTACTGTACGGTCGCACGTCTTTTGTCTCCCGAGCAGGCTTGAAAACCCGCAGAGAATCGTACGATTGTAGGCAGGTTAGTGGCGTTCTCGGGAGACATATGCCGCACGTGCTGGTGTGCACAAGCTGCCCGCTCAGCATTAGAATCATCGGAAGCCCTCCACTCAGCAGGGTGGGCTTGCGATGATCGCAAGTACGATCTGCCTGTCCAAGATGGGCAGATCGTACAAGCTTTTAATTACCTTACAACCATCGCACGCTGAAAGTCGTGCTATGGTTGTAAGGTGTATGGCCAGCTTTAGAGCACTAGGTTGGTGATTTATGTGAGGCCTGACAAGCAATAGGTTTGTGCGGGTTGATAGTCAGGACTGTCTAATCTGTAGCCTTGACATGGCTAGGATTTAATTTTTTGCATTCTAGACTTCACTTGAGCACTGTATATAGCCTGTGTACTGCACCAATAAACACACCATTGTTTGAAGAAAGATCAATAGTCTGGTCTCTAATCCTCTCAAGACTGCTCACCCCAGGGATCAATTCAATTGCACCCGCTACCTATTACCCAGCTCACAGCGACAAGAAGGTGGGCTTCAAAGCCTGGCCGGTGCATTGTTCTGTGCTAGAAGCGCGCTCACTGCACTCTCCCTGAACAGTGACCAAGCTGATACGACAGCCTCTATTCATGTTGACACTCAGTAGCTGGGGACAGCTCCTAATCATGTGATTGGCTGTCACATTATCGGGTGCCAGTCCCTGGCTCCCATCGGTAAGGTACTTTTAAAGGTATGGCGTCACAGGGCTTCAACAATATTTTCAAAGACAAAAATGTGATGGCAGAAATTCAGAGACTTTGGAGAAAATATCTCATTTGGTCACTGAGGATTCTGTGGCCTGTGAAAGCTTTTTGGCTTTCATCGTCTGTGGTCAAGTGGTGGACCGGCCTTCTGGAATGCTAACCGCCATAACTCTCCCCTCATCGGCCCCTCCCCTCCATTATGAGATCTCTCATATTGTTTGCAGACAACGCGGCTTTAGCGTTGCTAAGCGCAGATTGAGATGTTTGCATTACGGATGGTTAACATGCTTGTAGTTTCCTATGTCACATTCCTTTCAAGACAAAACTTTATAGGCGATGCTATTTCTGTCCCTCCAAGCAGACTGGGCGCTGCTTTACATGTTCACCATTTTCTCACCGCTGTCTCTTTTTATTTTCAGTTCCTCCACTTTCACATCATCCTTCATCCTCTCATCTTGAGAAGAGCGCGCTGCTGCGTTCTGAGTATTATGTGCCTAATCCCTTCTTAGACAGTTCCCACCAGAATGGGTGTAATTAGGAGATTTCAGTCACCTCCTGTTCTGGTGATAACTGTAATGTTTTGGATAGAAAGGATAAATCTCCCCTCAGACATCAATAAAAAAACTTGTCATAGATCTGTTTCCTACACTTAGCTAAAACTAGTTTTGGCCAGAGTTACACTTTAAGTCTTCATGCACTAACTGTATAATGTGATTCATCATGGCTCTGACCACAAATGGCAATGATGGGAGATCAGCAGTGAAGCAATCTAAATCAGAACGCATAGTTCATATGTAAAAAGCAAATATGGCTGTTTTAAGGCAGAACTGTGTGCCAAAAAAAAAATGTGCCCCCTCAGCATATGTGGAATATAAGAGACAATCTTGTTTTGTCCATGGAGATCTAATACTTACATTGACCTGTGCTGGCCGCTGGTCCTGCAGTGTACATGATGATGTCGGCAAGAGGGGCATCAACATGACAAGAACAGCAACTTCGGGGGTAACCAGTCATCACATCTGGTAGAGAGGAAGACTTCTGGTCCATGCATTAGGCTTTTGCATCCAATTTTTAGGCCCAGCTTGGAGTTGCCCTTTAAAGACCAACTCCAACCAAAATGTCTGCAGAGGAGAGGGGAACCTGTCCTGGGTGATGACTGGCTGGCAGTGGAAGTCTCTGATGCTGTCAGCCAACCATTACCCAGTCCGTGTCAAGACAGCAGTCTGCCATTTAGTGATCCCTATTCTATGCCATCCCTAGAGTAATAGTATTCCAGAAATAAAAATGGTGAATCTGACCATTTGAGTGAAAACAAAAAATTTTTTGGCTGGTTGGGCTTTATCGTTACTATATAATTTAAAATGAACAATGGAGGCAGGATTTTCTCTAAACATTATTAAACACTGATAAGTTCTTTTCCACAAAGGGCAGAATGAACACAGAAGGAAGCTCCTTCTGTGCTGCCGGAGCAACAGCGGGTGGGGATTCCTCAACTAAGCACAGGGGAAGGATGCATTGATGTCCAGGGCTGGATTAACATAGGGGCTACTGGAGCGCAAGCTCCAGGCTCACTATTGAAATTAGGCCCGGGCGGCCTGAATCGCCTCTGTATGCCCGATGGCAATCCAGGCTGGTCGGCTGAACACAATCAGACAAAGGCGCCAGTGTTCTATGATTTTTCTGGACCTCATAAGAATGCTATTGGATGTGTGCTACGCTCATCGCGCATGCAGCATTTTGTAATCATTTTTCTCGACACACAAATTTTCAGGCCAGCGTCATCCAAATCAACTGTTTTCCTTCAGCCGCTGCACCCACAGCTATTTGTCCCATGGGCTGGTCCCGGTTTTCAGTAGCGGTATCTCCGACACCACCCGGCAAGTGGTCTGTAATTTACCTTGACCGCGTCACTTCCAGGTGAGCATGCAGAAGAAAAAAGGGCCTCAGGAAAATAGCTCATTCTGATGATGAGGCTGCACCAGAAGGGCCAGAAAAATAATAGAACACCGGTAGCTCTCTACTCAGGGGCCCCAGCCAGGAGCGAGCGGCCGCCTATTTAGAGAGCCACCTCTGCTGCTTCCCACCAAAATCCTCAGCACCAGGCCCCTAATGCTCTTAAGCCAGTCCTGGTAATGCCCTTGATCTTATATGGCCACATGCCTATATTTGGTAATGGACAATAATGGCATCAGCACAAGCATCCTGCCCCTTTTGTTTATATGCAGCTGTGGGACGAAATGCCTGGCCCATACCTGATTAGGTCGAAGTTCAGGGGAGTTCTGAACAAAGTTCTTTGTTCAGGGGAGCTCAGGATAGGACTGACTTTGGTCCAAACTTGAGCTCATCCCTAACTGTTATAATTCATGAAACTTTTTGTCAGTTCATGGTACCTGACATTACTTAGAAGACTGTAACTAAAAAGTAATTAACAGTTACTGGTGCTAAAGTAGCAATAAACGGACTCCTTATAGCTAAGTTGTAAATGTGTAATGTCTTTACTCCCTTCTTCCTCGTTCCCGTGTCCCCTAATTAATCAGGTTGCATAATTATTTGAATAATATTAGGGCTGACTCCCTCAAAGACCCAGTGCTGGGAGAAGGAAACATTCCGATGACTCAGCTGTGTTCTTTCCTTAGGCAGTTTTTATTCCGCGCTCACACATCTATAATTATACTATCCTTTACTAGGATTGAGCCATCAGGAGGTGAATCCATCCTTCCAATGTGTGTTGGTTTAAATGTATTTAAAAATTCAGGTTTGTACGTAGTAAGACACACGTGTTCCTCTGCGTGGGATCCACTCTAGGCACAGCCAAATGTGTCCAGGTGACATCATTATGAAAATGTACCTTCCTTACAAGTCATAACAGGGAGATGTGTGCACGTATATTGCAATATGCTGTGATATCAGGAATGTACCACCCAAGGTTCTGCGATGATGAATAGGGACACCTTTTAGTGCCAACGTTTTTCGGCACACCCTGTGATTGATGTGACTACCCTTTCTCGATGGTTGTTTATGTAAATCAGTAACACCGTCATTGACGAGGTGAGTAAAGACAGATGAAAGAAATAGGAAGGCTTTTATGAGTTGAATAGTTCACTATAGTACTACAGATTATGTAGATCCAAAGCCAAGGCTACTCTTAGTTTTTGGGAGCGTGTGTAAGAGTCAGAACATCTGTCAAGTTTTTATTGCTGTGACCTCATTGGGAGATGTCCCTTTACTTCTTTCCCAAGTGTCACCAGCACAAAAAAAGTAAGAGTAAATTTCCTAAACAAGAACAAATACTAGCATAACCCTTTCCCTATCTGAGAAAAACTATAAAAAAAAAAGTGTTGGCTGCTGGAGATGAGTTTTTATAGAATAATGTTGATGGAGAGAGAGGTTTGAAACCAGTGTAGTGACATTTAGCAGACATGTTCCAAGTCTATATCCAATTAAAATCTGCAAAGTGCTAAAATGATCCTAAAGCCCAATTGAGCTTTCCGTTTTAAATTACCTAAATAGATTCCAGGTGCATCAAAACAAAATGTGACCAGTTCCTTACAGCCACAGCCTGAGAAGACTATTCTTTAATAGGGCTATAGCCTAAAGGTGGCCATACACTGTACAACCATCGCAAGACCTTAGTCTTGCAATGGTTGTAAAGTGATTAAAAAAACGTACGATCTGCCCATCTGCCCATCGTACTCTCGATCATCGCAATGCTGAACGGGCAGTGTGCACACCACCATTTGTCTCCCGAGCACCGTTCAAACCAGCCGAAAATCGTACAATTCTCGGCTGGTTTTCTAGCGTGCTCCTTAGACAAAAGACGTGCGACCGCCCCATGTGCCCCATGTGCTCCAAGATGGAGACTCTCATAGTTTAGAGTTAGGACCGCACTATAAGAGGTGCCTTGGCGCGGCAGTGCGGCTTACACATCCTTTGCTGAAGACGTGTATCCAAACCTCTGTCATTGTCCTTAGTGGTGAGACAAGTTGTTTTACATGCTAGTTTGTGAGTGTGCCATGATGCCTTTCTACTGTTCTACCGTACATAAGAAACGGTCGCACGTCTTGGTTCACACTGCTCGATTCTCGTACGATCGCGGGATTTCCCACGATTCTCGTACGAGAATCGAGCAGTGTATGGGCACCTTAAGTCAGACCAATAGCTGTGTAACAGGGACGTGCGGTCAGGGGAGGCAGGTGAGGCACAGCCTCACCTAGTATTATGGAGGAAAAGAGCTGTCAGCTTCAAGTCTGAAGCTGACAGCTTTTTCTCCATTCAGATCGGCTTCTAGCAGGTTACACAGCAGGGAAAGCCTCCACGCTGTGTAACCTGTCATGGACAGAGCACTGCCTGTTTATTAAAGGCAGCGCTGCATCCAGCTTTTGACAGGTAGTTAGGTTACACAGCAGCGGGCTTCCCCATTGCTTGTGTAACTGAACTAGTGAGGCAAGAGCTGTCACAGCCTCTACTCTGTGTTAGAGGCGTGAGCTCTGTGGATGGCTTGGACCAATAGCAAAGCGCCATTGGTCCAAGCTGTCCAATCAAAAAAGAAAAAAAAACCCACTGAGGCCATCGATCTCGATGCCTCAGCAGTGAGGTGCAGGGAGGCTCCTCCCTTCCTCATTCACACTAGCTTGGGGGTGGGGCTTCGGCTGGCTGGGGGCGGGGCTTCATCTGGCTGGGGGCAGAACGGGACATGCTGGGGGAATGCCTCACCTGGAACCAAAGGTACCGCACGTCACTGCAAAGTTCATGCTACCCACTGATTGGATAGCTCTTGCTCTGACACAGCAGATGATATGTCAGATGAACCAACAAATTGCCTGTGCATAAATAATGTGCAAGCTGAAGAAGTTACTTTGAAACCAGAA